TTTTTCCCCCATAGGCTTAGAGGACTTGAGTTGGAACATTAGTTGTGATGGAGACATGTTTTTCTGATGAGTGTTTGTCAGAATTTTTTTTTATCAAATTTGTGTTAAAAAAACAAAGCAGCCATGATCTGCCAACAATGTGGCTTAATGTATTTATTTCAACTGTTTTGGTTGGATCTAACTGCTTCACATAATTAGCTTCCTACTTGTTCTTCAGTCATCTACTGAGTCTTCCGGAGCAAGAATAGCATTTATGATATTAAAAAACCCCAAAACAAATAATAAAATTCTTTCTAAAATCAAGAAATTTTTCAAAAATTCAATGAAAATTAAAGCCCTCTGTATCCTTTCTATACACACCATACAGAAACAATGACAAGGAAACCAGAAACCTAGTTATCTTTCAATTTTCGTCATCTAATTTCAGAACATTTCAATGAGAAATTCAGTAGCATGTGTTTGTAAAAATCCCACTTTAAAATTAGCTTTATGACCCACTTGTGTTTGAAAATGCTTATCAGCTCTACATGGAGAGGAGTAAATACCTTTCTGTATGAGGTGATTGATGGTATAATTACAAATGGAATAAATGGAATAGTCATCATGATTAGCAGAAGCTGGAATGGAAGATAGATAAGAGAAAAGAATTTATATTGGGGAAGAAATGTACCATTGTAAAAGAAAAAAACCCATACTAATTGGAGGGAGAAAGAGGTTGGTAAGTGGTTAGATAAAAACAATACTAAAATATAATGTACTGCTTTCAGTTTCTCTTTTCCTACTTCACTGTCCATACTTCTTTCCGATATTCCATGTTCTTTCCTTCCACCTGTCACGGCAGAATCTGATCTTTCACATCTGTGAATTAATGTTGATCTTTCTATTTCAAGCAGAATAGAAAAAAAACCACTAACCTTTATCCAACTTCCAATAAGAGGAAGTAACATTGCCCCAGACCGAGTGCCAATTAGAACCCAGAAATTTTCTTTTCAAACCACTGTTATGACATTATAACTCTCCAGCTGATATTACTGCATTTAAAAGCATTTAACAAATTTTAAGGAGTTATTTTCTCCCAATATATTTCTTTCTTTCTTAGTACCTGTGAAACTGTTTAGACTAAAAATTTTCAATAATTATTCAGTCTTTGTGACTATAGTGCATCCAAGATCACATATTACTCATTCTCTTCCCTTGTCTAGGTAGACAAGATATTTAAACTGTAGAAAAAAAAAAAAGAAAATATATATAGGCCTTTAGTGCTACTGTTATGAAATAGGTGTGGACTTTGAGACAAATGATTGGTTGATGTTATTCAACCATCTGATGTCACCATCTGCCAGAATAATATTAATATTTTCCACAGTCTGACACTTCATGGAAACCATCACTGGGCTAGCAGAACTGAAAGCAAAGGTTGAGTGCCATTTGCCAAACTTGGGGGCTGTCAAGTCGCATGTGCTGAGCACCAAACTCTCTGAGGTTGGTCTCTCTCTGTCTGGGGAGGTCTTTGCAGTGCATTCACAGAGCTGTGCTCCAGCCTGTTTTGCCCTGTGTGCCAGGATGTCTATCTAGACTTACAGAAGGGCCACAGCACTATGCTCAGAAACTGCTGAGGGTACAGGAAAAAAACCTGGGGTAAATGGAGATAAAAAAGGCATGACACTCATACCTGCACTGAAGACTTCTGTACAGCTGCCTTCTGCTCTACAGATGTGGCAGCTCTCCTGCCTCTCCGTCATGACTGTCTTAATCAGCTCTGCGGCAGCTTCTGATGTGAAGGGATGCAGATGGAGGGAAGAATCAGGGGCTGCTTCTACAGGAAGATGCAACTGGACCCCAGCATGCAGGGGCAGGCTCCTGCTTTGCTCTTAACTCCGGTTTCCTCCTCTCACTGACCTCTTGATAGATATCTCAGCTCACCCTGACCACAGTCAACCTCTCCACTCCTTCCTGTACCTGCCCTCTCTAGATCTGCACGTTCTGGCAGTCCCTCTTTCTTCTCCCCTTTATCTCTTCCCTGTTCAAGGGAGACTGAGTACAAATATGTTTAATTCTAAGCCACTACCAAACCTTATAGCTGGTGCTCCTGGGGCTGACAGTTGGGCTTTCACAGCTCTGTCCAGCACTTCCTTTTGCCAGAGATATTTCTAGCCCTAGGAGGTTTGCTTGCATCCCAAATCTCCAGCCACTCTAGGAACAGACAACTCATGAGTGGGCCTACTAAGGGCTCTCTTCTCTTGCTTGAACCCAAGCACATCTCAAACCTCCCTCTCGCTTTGCTGAACTCAAGATTTCCAGTCCAATAGACAGTGGTGCAGACACAGCCGTTCGAAGCAAAATAGAAAGAAAAGAAACTCCTGCCAAATGGGGAGGTCCAAAAGGTAACCAAAGGTTGGGTAGAAGGTAGCAATGATGTGCCTAGGCTTTATGCAGTGATAAAAGAAGTGTTTGCTCGGGGCGGGCTAGTTGCAGTTGTACTCCTCAGCTAGAGGGAGTGAGGGGCCTGTCCCATCCAGGCCTACCATGGCAGGATTTAGAGAAAGCCTTGGCAGCCCGGCTCTGAGAGCCTGCTGAGGCCTGGGAGCGGTGATGTTTCCAGACCTGCTGGGGAGCTCTGATGCACACCTTCAAGTGCCCTTACGTGCTAGCAGGGGTGACTCCGGCAGCCCAACAGAGGCAAGGCTGGTGTAGCTCCCTGCCCCCAGGCAGCCCAGTATTCCCAGTGTGCATACACATAAACCTGCATACACAACACATATACGTACGTATATGCACATATATGCCAGCCACACAGATCAGCACAGACAGACATACTTTGCACCCACACAAACAGCGCCAACAGCCTCATCCTGCTCCCCATCTCTGGTTGAGCATGATGGAGATCTAAAATGTACAGCACGGATCCCTCCAGTATCAGGGCTACTCAGTCTGCCCAGTAGCTGCCTCTGGATCCCTGTCTTCCCAGTTGCCTGATACCTGGACATCTGAGGCATGGACACACACCACAGTTGCTGGTACAGAGCCCTCACTCACAGATGCACACACACGTACAGAGCTCTGTGACAGGTAGCCGAGACTCCCCTGATCCTTCTGATAAGCCCACTCACCCTGTGGTCTCACCCTCGGGGGCACATAGGGGCATATGTCTGGCACCAGGATCACTTCACCTTCATTTTGGCTAGTGGTCATGCACTCATTCACACTCCCTCACTTACTCCAGGTGATTTTACTCACTCCAGTCTCTCCAATTCCTGGCACTTAGACCTCTGTCATGAAACACATGCACACAGAGTAGAGCATCCTTCATGCCAGAAAATAGAAATGGATTTCAACAAGACAGGAGAGACTGCACAAAATAAGCGCAGGGAATGGCCAGACAACCATACTGATCAGCAGCCAGTTTACACGCTACTAACCTCTTTTATACCTTTATCTATTTTCTCACCTTTGTTTCTCCCCAAACCACCTAGATCCTCCCCTTTCCTTGCTGTTGGTTCTTCCCCTAAACATCACATAAATCTAGTGCAATCCCCAAATGCTCTTCTCCTGCATCCCATAATGGGTCCCATACCCCTAGGCAATAACTGCATCTCAGTTACAAAAGTTCTTCTGAAAGCCTCTCCCCCTGACTGATCTTGATGGGCTTTCGCCTGGACCCTGGGACTGAAGTTCTCCTTAGAACAGCCCCGGGAGGGGCCCAGACAGGGTGTCCCTTCTTGGGAGTCCATAATTTGGGTTCCTGCCTGCCATCATGCCCCTGTGGTCCTCTGGTGGGCTGATGGCTCCTGGGATGGGCCTGGGAGCAGCCCGGCAGGGTGCTGTCTGGGGTCCCCCTCCTGCCAACCTTGTCTCCCTGTGGGTGCGCGGGTGAGCTTTTGTCACACAACCTAACATGATCTCCTGCGAAGGGGGATGACTGCAGGTGGAAGCCAAATGATCCGATCAGTATTTAACACAAGTTGAGCTCTGCCACTCATAGCTCATGAATTGATTGTGGTTAGTAGCAATCACAATGAGAAATAAATAACTGAGCTCGGTAAGGCCAACTGCATGCACGTGCTTGTCAAGAAAATCAGTCAAAAGGATCACAGCCCTGAAAGCTGGTCTTTGTCATGCTCATAGCCATGTCCTGCCTCCTCTGAAGTCTGGCTGTGTCTGGCCTCAATGCTTACCTTTGGAGCGTATAGTACAAGAATCTCTTTTTTCTTTTAAGTTGCAAGGAACTCAGGGAACAGCAACTTTACTCAGCCTAGTCAGAGGCATATGGGAGATGCTATTAAAGCACTTGGTTCTAATTATGCTGCGGAAGAGAAACATATTTCACGTGTGAAGGGAAAAACATGCCTTTGTTCTTCCAAAAAGAGAGATCTTGCAGAGCAGAAAACTGTGAGATGTGAAGCTGTGGTGGACACCAATTCAAATAGCGTTTGCTTTGTGCTGGTTTTCATCTCAGCATGTTTAGCTTTTTTAAGGGACCAAATTATTTTTTTGCATTTTGAATTCTACCTGATGAGTGCCTCAGGTTTCCCACCCATGAGTGCCTACTTGCCTCCTTCAGGCCTGCGTAGGGTGGAGCACAGCATCTCTTGCCTGTCAGACAATTTCTACCTGGGAAGTGCAGTGATGAACCAGTGTAAACATGCCAGAGCTGCTAGAATGACCAAGGGCATTTATGTATGTATGTGGAGGGAAAATTTGCTATAAAGAGTAAATAAAAAGCTAACAGCTAATGAAAATTGAACCTTTCACATTCAATGACATGCATTCCAAATAGTTTAGGTATTGCTGAATTGATCCCAGGAGTAACATTCTTCATATGGAGGTTCTGGTCTTCATAAGACCAGAACTTCTCTGTGTGAAATATAATAGTTGATGACGTACAGGTGGTCTGACTAAAATCAGGGGGGGTCTATTTCATATGCTGAGCTGAATTGGCTTAAGACTGCTAGAACAAATTGTAGTAGCATTCAAAAGCCTGACTAGATCTGCTCCCACAGGAAATGAGGTAATTGCAGTAGACTGGAAAGGACTGAAGGATGTGGACCAAATCAATATGGACAGCACCAGTTCACTGCATGGCAGCAACTTCCATCGACCTTCCACTGAGGTGAGTGCCTGTCCCAGACCCACTTACCCAGGGGGATCAGAAAGTTTCAGTTATTTCTGAGTTCAGAAATGGGTGTTGTGCATCACTGAGGCATCATCTGAGAGAGGACTGGAGTGCCAATGTGCACCCAAGGATTGGACTTCCGTATCTGTGCAGTTTGGCTTGCATTGAATAGAAATGAGTCACTCTCTTCACAATATCCATTGTGAGTAAGAATTTGCAAATGAAACTGCTTTTAAACACTCCTGAGTGGAGTGGAACAGAACATGGAAAAAACTGTGGCAGTTCTGACAAGCCTGTAGGTCTTTATTCCTTGAATAATGGATTCACTGAAATGTCCATCTCTGTGTCTGTCCCAGATTCTGCAGCACAGCCATAAAATATTTTGAAGAAACACATTTGTCTCCACTTTGATTTTTAGGGATGCATTTACTAGTAACTCACTGCCAACTGATTTACCATGCAGTATCTTAAGGCTGATTCATTTGCTGTTCTGAATTACTGCAGCTTTTGCAATCTTATAGATCTGAATTTTCAGCTCTGTAAGGTTCAAGATATGCAGTCATGACTAATAAAAGATCAAAGCTATTTTAAACACACAATATTTGAGGAATCATAAGTAATATTGTCAAATAACATTTAAAAATAACATACAATTTGCAAAACCTTATAAAAGGCTAATGTATAGCTATTATACCTTACTGTCTTGGAATGTAATTTGAAGAGTTTCATGGAGTCCTCCTGTCAGAAATTGTGAGGCCCAACCGTGTATGGAAAGTTCAGTTAAATCAAACGCAGATCTAAAAGTCAATGAGCATAAACTATACCTCAGTGAACATTTTGATTTATATGAACAGGTACCATAGGTGTAATTGATTAATTTAAATTTTCCTGAGTGACCACATCCCCAAACCCAAGATGCTGAAATGTGACTCCTCCCAGCTGAAGAAAATGCTCAATGAATTAGTGCTGTAATGGCCGATGTGGGAAATGGATGTAGTTTACAAGGGGAAAGTGGGTCAGACTGGACAAACTGAAAGACTACAAGAGCAAATGATTTCAGGAGGAAATAATTCTGTAACTTGCTGTATTATACTCAGAATACATAGGTAGTGTAGCTCCTCCTTGTGTTAGCCTCAAAGTGATGCAACTCCCACACAGGGGTGCCAGCATTGCAACATTTAGCAAAGAGCTGTTAGAAGGGGAGCCTTATGGAAAGGGGTTTGTTTTTCTCTCTCTTACTCTGTCTAGGATCCTATTCACTATTGTACCTTCAAACACTGTGATACTTATGAACACCATAATCAACAGCAGGGAATGAAACCAGCTTGAAAGACACAAATTCTTTTAATATATCAGATAAAGTAATGACTGTTGATTATGGCAAACTAGTAGATAGATGCATGGCTGTTTGCAACTTGTTTGTTACACTAACATGATGTCTTTCTTCACTTTGTTTAGCAAACACGGACAGATTTCTCATGGGATGGTATCAATGTGAGTATACACCACACCACTGTTCAGCTTTCTAGTCATAGGATTTGTCTGCCATTGGATACAGTGGAGACCAGAATGGAAACATGAGTGAAAATCTATAGTGCCACTGAATTTCTGGGAATTGTCTACAATTCAGAGAATGGTGGTGAATTTTTGTTTGCCTCTGGGTCTTTTGCTCTGGCTGGTATTTAGATCTACAGGTGCCTTTTAAATTATCTTTGTCTTCTTTAGGACAAGTGTGTGTCATTTCATATGTTCTATTTCTGAAATTTCTGGGCACAGCTAGATAAAAAAGGTGTCTGTCCAGCAAGTTTAAAAAAATCAGTAGTCTTTGATCAGAGCATCATTTGATCTTCTCCAGGAGTTTGGGAGAAATGTGTCCCTCATTTTCAGCTGCATACAGAAGTGAAAGAATTCTTAAATGTCCCCTGGGGGAGATGGTCAGTACCAGTTAACTTCAATTAACAAGCAGAAGAAAAAACAAGCAAACGTTTTAATAGCACTGACATCTCTTTCATTATGGCACTTATGGCTTGGGATCTGTTGTCTAGGCTCAGTTAGAGAAACAAATTGTGCAGGAAAATAATGGTTCATGCATCAACTGTCTAGAAGAAATTTGCCAGTTTTTTCTTCACTGCACCTCTGTCTAGCTGAAAGGTACAGTAAGGAAACAGTCATGTTTCCTTGTAGATAGTAGAAGACAGTTTCCTTACTTGCAGATCACCATTTTCCAACCCATTCTGAATCCATGGAGCTCTTTCATTATGCACTTCTTTCTCTTTCTGAGTGTAATTCCATAGATCTTCTTTGGTATCAAAGCTGGCTCATGAATTCCCTTCCCCTTCCCCTCCCCCTCCCCCTCCCCCTCCCCCTCCCCCTCCCCCTCCCCCTCCCCCTCCCCCTCCCCCTCCCCCTCCCCCCTCCCCCTCCCCCTCCCCCTCCCCCTCCCCCTTCCCCTCCCCCTTCCCCTTCCCCTTCCCCTTCCCCTTCCCCTTCCCCTTCCCCTTCCCCTTCCCCTTCCCTTTCCTTTTCTCTTCCCTTCCCCTTCTCTTCTCTTCTTTTTCCCTTCCTTTTCTCTTTCTCATGGCTCTCCAACCTCATAGTGGTAGAGACCTTCTGCAGTTTACTTTCTTTTAGGGGCCATTTCCATGAGGTGGCTCACAGAACAGCCCTCAGGCTGTCTTGAAACAAATGGGTGGGTAATGAACAGCAGCACCCAGGCAGGAATGACCAGTGGGGACACAGATGGACGTTCTTCAACCAGCTTCATCACCAAAGGAAACGCATCATGGAACAAAGGCTATGTTCTCATTTTTTAACTATTCTTCCCCTACTTTCTGATTTCTTCAGCTCACGTTACACACAGACGTTCCTGGCTCCAAAGTTACAGGATGCCTTAACCGTTGCATTTATACTCAGTTTCCAGAGAAACTCACCTCTCACATTTTGGCCATTGAGCGGGATTATATGCAGTTCAACATCTTTACAATACCTTCCTTTGCCTTCAACTATTTGACTGCCCAGTTATTGTTCCACTGACCTTTGTGAGGTTTGTGCCTATGACCAAATGCTTCCTTCATGTCAGGATTTAAAATTTCCAGTATCATGACCACTACTTTTGAGTATCTTTGTGTCTGAAACATGCTGGACTTGATTTTCAGAGAGGTTGAGATGAAGAACAGAAGCAATGCTTGTTTAGCCCTTGTGAAAATTAGGCCTCATATGCAATGCCTGGCATCTCTGAACAAGCCCGATGAATTAATCTTGAGGGATTGTGTTTTATGATGATGTTTGTGACTCCTGACTGTCCCAGTAGTTTCCTGTCCTTGTTATTCAGGGACTGAGGGTGAACATAGAGAATAAAAAGAATTAAGCAGAACTGTAGACCTTATTTCTTTACAGGTAGTTGTTGGTGCTTGAAACATGGTGCATCACTGATACAGTCACATTCATTTTATTAAGACCGCATGAGAAGAAATGGAAACCAAAAGTAACATATAAAAATTAATATCTGTAGTACGGTGCATATGTGATGCATTACTGGGTCTTGCCTATTACATTGTCAGCTCCCCATTGTAAGCTCCCTGAATTGTCTATCAGCCATCTCATGCATCTCTAACAAAGAGTTAGGGACAGTGCAGCATGTCTGTGGAGGACTGGCAGCAGCTGAAGGGAGGCTTCTCACAGCCTGCTTCTGCTGTTCCCGCTGACCTTGCCTCACTGCATCCCAATGCTATGCAATATCCAGTCTTGGTTAAGTAGCCTCAATTTTTTCCTTCCCTTTTGTTCTTTTTCTTGTTGCTTGCTTCTGCTCCTCACCTTCCCCCTACCTTCTGGCATCCTTACACTGATTTCTCACTTCAATTCACTTTCTTTTCTACTTCCTGTATATAATTTCTTCATATTGTCTCTCTTTTCAGCTTTCCATGGAAGATACGACCTCCATCCTCCCCAAGCTGAAACGCAACTCCAATGCTTATGGGATTGGAGCTCTGGCTAAATCATCTTTCTCTGGTGAGGTCCTCAAAATTTGGTTTTATCCTTGGCAGCTTCTCTCCACAGGCCTTTGTGCCTCTTCTCATATCTCCCTGTTGCTATCCCAGCTGCTCCTTTCTGACTTTTGCCTTTTTGAGGCCTTAGAGGAGTCTCCATCACCATAGTCCTAGACACAGAAATCTCTTAGTTGTTGCTCTTTCAAAGAACAGATTTTCTTACTCCTGTGGCCTCTCACCCCAGCTTAGACATCTTCAATTGCTTTCCCTCAAACAGTCTCGGGTTTAAGCCCATTTTCTATTTCTTAGTTTGTTCACTTCCAGGCTCCATCCTTCATGCCCAGCTGTGTCCTAAATGGATTCTAGGCAAGAAAGGAAAGAGTGTTTCACATCTCGAGTTTCCCTTTTTCCCCCTTCTGAGACCCAGCCCAAGGAAAGACACAGAAACTCTCCTAGAGAGTGATACAGTGAAAGGTGAGAGACACCCAATCCCAAGCCTGAACCCTGTCAGGAAAGGAGGGGAGAAGCTCTACTTCCAAGAGAGGTAAACAGCATGGCAGACAACCCTGGAGCTGTGTAATAGCCCCTCCTTGTTTTCTAATGTCTGGCCCCTTAGGGATATCTCGCAGCATGAAGGACCATGTCACAAAGCCAACGGCTATGGGCCAAGGCCGTGTGGCTCACATGATTGAATGGCAAGGCTGGGGCAAAGGAAACAGCCAGCAGCAGCAGCACACGCATGAGACAGCACGCAAAGACGCTGATGCCTACTCAGACCTGAGTGATGGTGAAAAGGAGGCCCGGTTCCTTGCAGGTAGTGCTAACTTTTTGGTATGTGGATTGGATTGGTTGGGATGTCCCAGAGCAGAATCCCAAGAGAAAGACCAAAAGGGCAGATACCTGAAAGACACACTGTGGGTGGTTCAAATGGCTGAAGGAGAGAGACACCATGGCTGGAGTATTGCCAACGGAATGCAGAGTGGAGAGGGTGAAGGCCAATTGTGGGTGATGGGCATTGCTGATAGGACAAGAGTGGGACAGTGTGACCAAGGGATGAGGTTAAAGAGGGTGGTGAGAAATGGAGACTTTCACACATTCCTGCTTCCCCTCCCTGTCACCTTTGCACAGGAGTGATGGAACAATTTGCTATTTCTGAGGCAACTCTCATGGCCTGGTCCTCCATGGATGGTGAGGATGTGAGTGTAAACTCAAATCAGGAGAACCCAGCAGGCAACTACTCTGAGAACTATCAGGAGCTAATGGAGAGCCAAGGTGAGCTCCAGTGCTTCTTGCTAATCTTGTAATACCCCTTACCTGCTCTTGTCATGTTGTTCTCTTTCCCTCTACCCTGTTTTATTCTGTAGCCTCAATTTTTGGGATTGGGGTCTAGCAGAGACATCACCTGTTTGTGGAGCTGTCCAAAGAATCTAGTCGTAACAGGGAGGCTCCAAAGTCCAGGTCCTTTGCCTTTTTTTGGTGCAGCTGTGGAAAGCTAACAGCTCTTGAAGTCAACTGTGGGTGTAATCAAGTTCATCTGTCAACTGCCTAGAACTGCTTTTTCTCTTCACCCTTCTCCCCTCTAAAGGTTTTATCTACCCTGTACAGTACAGTGCCATGCACAGGCACAGAAGCTGTCAGAATGGGCCAGCTTGGCCTAGAGAGAATGTCTAACTGTGTGTTGTTTCCCTTCTTTACTTGCAGAGCATATGGCCCAGACTCAGTATGATAGCTGGCCTCATTCCTACGTCTCGCAGGGCATGTATTGCTTAGGTTCATCTGAAGCCTGGGAGACCAGTGACCAGTCCCTCATCGCTTCCCCAGCAACTGGCTCCTACTTAGGCCAGAATTTTGATGAATCCCAGACAAACCTTCAGGAGAGCATTTTGATCCAGAGCAGCCTTCTGCATCAGCAACAGCTGCAGCAACAGCGGCAGGAGCAGAACTTCATCCAGAGCACAGGGCTGGTCCACGTTTGGCCCCTGCAGACTGCTCAGGGTGGGGTTGGGGCTGAGTCTAGCACATACACAGAGGACCACATTGAGGATGAAGGGAACCCACGGCTGGAGAAGGCTCCTCTCCTAAACAAGAAGCCCTCTCCAGAGGAGGATGATGCAGTGTGCCGGGACCTGGAATCACTGTCTCCTCGAGAGGAGATGGAACATGCTGCACTGAGCCGCAAAGTCTCAGATGTCACCTCCTCTGGGGTGCAGTCCTTTGATGAGGAAGAGGGAGAAACAAACAACTGATGCTTTCTCTGAAGTTGTCATCACTGCTGAACAAAGAGAGGGGTGGCAAGGAATGAAATTACAGGGATTCTTCTCTCCAGCTCCCCATACTTCCAAGCAGGCACACCTTCCATTCCTGACATATAATTATTTTTTTAAACAAGAGGAAAACTCAAAGTGCTTGACGCATGAAGACCTCTTCTTCCTCTCCACTATGGACTCGTATTTTTGATTTATATTGCTCTGGGCAACATATGTGAGGTGCTTGGAGAGATCTGGATTGGTAAATCATTTCTGAATCTTTTTAATACAAAGTCTTGGCTGTGGATACAAACTTTTCTGGTACTGGAGATATGGCAGATGAGACAGGCTTGGTATAGGGAGCAGCTATGTGGCTAGAATCCACCTTAGCAGAATGGATGTTGCTCTGTGGACGTGGTCCCCTTTCGTAGAGTATATGAATATAAACTGGTTTAAAATGAAGATGTGGCTTTACAAATATAGATTGCACTAATATTGTGATTGTGGCTGATACAGAGGATAAGGCTGTATTTAATACAGGCTGTACCGAGATGAAAGGTTCGCTGTGTAACCAGATCCTCAGTAGCACCTTGATATGACATTGTAGGCTCAGTGGATACAAACTGCACTCCACAGGCATGGGCAGTGCTGCAGTAGAGATGGTGTGTCTCTGTGGGCATGGCTCTGCTGTGACATGGAAGAATGGATGCAGATACGAATCTAGCCCTGCTCTTGGATATTCATGCTTCGATCTCTTTCTAATCTTTCACTTACTTGTCTCTTTGACATTTCTACCTTTGCAGGATCTGGTAAGAGTGGTGTGTCCTTTTGGCACTGGGCACTGGATGCCAGTGGAAAAGACATTTTCAGCTACGGAGACAGTCATAAAAAGCTGGCTTTTGCAAGGGTCTTGAGAACACATCCATCTTGGTGCTGCTGCTGTATCCTTCTGTCTTTTCCCTTGCCAGCAGTATGGGGAGACCCAGAGAGTAGGCAGCACATCCAGGAGCAGTGTGTACAGCTATGAGATCACAGCTACCGAGTTTACATTGGAGTTTTCAGTTCTTGCTTTTTTTAACAGTTTTGTATTGCTGGGTAAGTGTTCCTAACAAAGCAGTTAATAGTGAGAAAGGCCTGTACTCCAGTCATCACTTAACAGAAATACTGCACCTTTCCCATTTCTGCCACTCCTTCTCCAGTGCCAAATGTAACTGGAGAAAAAGGGGTGAGAGGAAGTTTCCCCCTCCCATTTATTTCTTCTTCCTGCCTATATTTTCTTTTGTTTTCCTACCCCCAAGCAATGTAAATCATTCTCAGTGCTTGGTCTGTATGTTTTTCCCTCCCATCTCTCTTTAGGAGTGGAGAAAGCTTATTTCAGGAGTTTTCCACATTTGTACAGGTTCTGTATTTTTTTTTGTTAAAAAAATATGGTTCACTGACTAGGGGAAATTTGGTCTCTTGCAGTTCCTCACCATGTTTCTACAGACCTCCTTTTGAGGGGGAGGGGTTTTGAAAGGAACAAACTGTCTCATTTTGGGCTCTTACCAGAAAACAAACAGGGGCAAAAGCAAAAGCAAACATTGTACAAGGCTGTCGATTTTGCTGGAGGACTGAATAGAACCATTAGAGATTACACGAGTGCTGTGTTTTAATTGCAATACCTCTTGCAAGGAAGCACCAGCAAAGCATGTATTTAAATCAGATGACAGATCTGATGAGCTAGAGAAAGGAATTTGCCTGGGCACTGCCATACTATCCCAGGGGCAACTCTTTCTCACTTACTCTGACTCATACCCACTCTGTTTAAATCATGATACAATTTTCTCCTCTTTGCCTTCTCTTCAGGCTTGGTGTATTTTTTTGGATGACAGGAGAGTGATACGTGCTCCTTTCCTGATTCAGGTTTAGTACTCGCATATTTGCAGGGAAGAATGTCTGAAGAGTATAAAATGTGACTGAAGTAGTATCACCAAGTGTCAGAGTTCACACAGCTCCTGGCAAGCAAAGCAGATGATGTCCAGGAATAATGAAAAGTAAAAATGGGACTCTCAGGTAGAACTTTACCCCACTCAGCTTTCTCCCGCTTATACAGGCAGCTGCATGAAGAAGGTCTCCTATATGAATGCCCAACTCTTTCCAGCCAAGTCCATTTTCAAGTGGATCTGTCTTCCCTCTCCACTGCACCTCTAAAGGAAAGACCTTTGGGATATTTAAGACTGGTAATTTGGTGTAGGTAAGAGGTGATACAAGTTTTTGTGACCATCTTTGCTCGAGCTTGCTTACAGCTCTCTAAAGAGGTAGCTCTTTTCCTGAATGATGACCTTTCTGTATCTGTTTAAAGATGTTTACACATTCAGGTGCTAACCTCCCCTGGGCAAGAGGGCTTGATAAAGATGATCTCCTACAGTTCTTGGAGGGCCAGTGCTAGCTTATTGTCCTGAACTGGTTTGAGTCTAACCACGGAGCAGGGCCTAGGAAATCACACTAGCCAGAACAGGGAAATGGAGCAAGTCCCAAGAGCATCTCAGAAGATGACAAATGAGTAAATGTTAATCTTTTATTATTGCTTTTTTAAAAAGCCTTCAGGGAAACAAAAATGGTTAGGTATGTTCCTTTGTGGGAGAAGATTTGTGTGGCTTGTTTTTTTTCTCCAAACCATTTTGTTCCCACGTGCCTCTCCGGAACCAGTCTGGATGTTTACAGTAACTTTCAGAGTAGCTTCTAATGATCTTTGTGTGTTGTTTACAGGATTGGTACAACTTGTCCAGGGCTTCTTTTTCCTTTAATGTGGACATGTGGTACATTTACTAAGATGTCTGATTGATGTCTAAAAGATGTACACTATCTCCATGCAAGGCAGTGACAGGAAATTATCTACATGGGAAAAGGTGTGAAAAAAATTGACCTCGTAGAAAATTCTGTGGGGTTCAATAGGAATAGAAAATGTGTAGAGTTTACTAACCTCTCTGGAATGGGATAGAGAATTATACCATGCTGTATAGTTCCATAATTTGATCTCTAGAAACTTGTAGATAGACTCTCATTCTCTGTGAATTCAGACTGGTTTGAACACTACTCTCTATAAAAACTTTCAAGCTTACTAAATTCTATATTTTTTTTATAAAGGTTTTGAGTTTCTGTGAATAATGAAATTTCAGCCTTTTTCTGAAAAAAAAAGAAAAAGGCTATTTTCCGTGACCTCTCCACAAACCAAAAGAGAAATGTATTTACATTTGCCAGGAGCTTGACTGGAGGGAGCAGGTCTGCCCACCCACACTTGCTACCTGAATGAGCATCTTGAGCTGAACTGAAAAGGCAGTTTGAATCTTTTGGAAAATGGTTTGTATAATCTGGCCTTTTCTTATGTAACAGGCTGCTGCTTGTGTGTATTGAATATCAGAGAGAGGGGCCTGGAACCTCCTGTACATTTCCCATAAAAGCTGTTATTATATAGCTACACCTATTCAAGCATATGGGAGGCACAGGTGCTCTGTGAGAAAAATTTGGCGTGCAGTTTCTTTATCCTGGTGAGAAGGGATGAGTTGCAAAGAGTCCAGCCAAATAGAGCCCAAATTGAATATGTGAGGCTGAAAATAAGAAGGAAAGGTAAGATCAGTATCCCTGAGCTACAGTTATTAAGAAACTGAGCCCTGCTGTTCATTTACAGAAACCCTTTGTAAATCAGAGCTGAAGTACATAAAAATTTTGGATTTTCTGGAAGCAATAGAGGTAGAAGATTCCCATCTTTCTGCCTAAGACTTTGCCTTCAGTGGGAACTTGTTGAAATTATTGTACTGAACATGAATGAAGGCTTAAACACAAGTGACCCTAATTGAAAAAGATCTCAGATTCCACTGCAAGAAAATTCTCTCTTGTTCCTTCTCCCATGACTGCTCATATCTGATCAGTTACATACAACTTATTTCATAAGTCTTTTATAGAAATCTTAAGCTTTAAAAGCCTTGTGAGTTCTCTTCAACTCCACTATCTCAGGCTCTGGGATGGAGAAATCAATCTGCTTCTATCAGCTTCTGTGCCTCTAAGTCATCATCTTCCTCTGGGAAGCTGCTGACAAGTCACCCACTTGCTTTTCCCCCTTAAAAACTTTAACATCACCTTTCATGGTAAGTTTGATGCAGAGAACATAGTTTAACTGTACACCTAAGCTGATGGCAGGGTGAGCTGCTGTGAAGGAGGAAACCGTCTCCCCTGACTGTGCTCACCTCCCACAGTCCTCATGCAGATGCTGAGGCACAGCTGACCCCGCAGCAAGCCACTGCACTTTATCCACTGTACCCTACTATGAAAGTGAAGAGGGAACAGCTGTGACCTTAGGGAGAGAGAGCACTATTCTCAGCAGCTGTCCTTTATATCAGGTTAGGGAAACTGCGAAAGTGCACTTTGAAATGGCAACTTCGTGATGAGTCTAAGCTGCTAAAAGGAGCTGTCATGTCTCTTGCCTTCCGTCACCACCAGTTGTATACTTATGCTGCCTAAGAAGTACCAGTGCTAACACTCATTTGGGTACTTGGGATTTGGTCCCATTAAAAACTAACCCAGTCCCCTATCAAATAAGGGTTTCAGTGGGATCAGCTCCTTGTATTGTTTCACTTGGTGAGGCAAGCATAACTGAGGGTTGGTGAAATATGCAGATGGTCACGTTGAAGAATATTTCTTTAGTTGCAGATGCAACTTAAATTGGCTTAAGCTCATTGTGAAATACCTGTCTGAGAAGAATAAACCCAGCTGGGGTACCACTGGGGCTATATTCCTTGCTTCCTTCCATAGTGTTTTCCTTAGAATTTCGAGTATGCTCTTATCTCATTTGGTCTCTTGTTATTTAATGCCTTGTTATTTTCCTCACTATTCCCTCCCATTCCACATGTTCCTTTGAGAGAAACCCTTGCAGTCAGGCAGGAGGAGATGAGTAACTTGGTATAGACATGGAATTAATAAAATTAACATGCACAAATCTTGTATGCACTCAGTGATTACACTCCATGGCAGCTAAACATACTGATAAGCCTTCTCCTGTAATTGCAAGAGGCAGAGCCTCGTACAGGGGTGGAGTACAGCTGTTAGAGGTGAGGTTTGTCCCTACCTGTAAGCCAGTTCCACTCTAGTGTGAGATCCAGAATGGCACTTCACACTTAGGCAGAGTCTGTGCATGATGAACTGTGTACAACAGCAACTAAAAATACTAGTTGTAGGCCCAGAGAAGAGAACTGGAGAGAAGGAAACTGTTCCCTTCACTGGACAGAGGTATGAGGTACGGTGGTGAGGGAAGGTAGTGTGCAATGGTTCAGGCTTGTGAACAACTGTGCATGCTCTGTGCAATAGGAAGGAGAAGTCTAGCCAGAGAGAACAAGGCTTGGGAAAAAGATTAAGAAAAGCTTGACATCTTAATGTTTACACAGCACAGGTAGGAAGCTTCATGGCAGACTCCGGGCAGAAGGGGCTCAGGTGTAGGATTGCTACACAAGCTGTAGCTCCAGGATTGATGCAGTTTATGGTACTCCTTAGTCCAAGCCACACTTCTTTCTGTAAGGCTGAGTGATAGGAAAGAGACCTCCTTGAATTTGGGCACCTGCTGGCTTCTTTTTTATCATCTTTGAAAAACAGTTCAAAATACGCTTCAGGAGAATCATATAAGAAATACACCAAATAAGGACTTAGTCACTGTCCAAACAAAGTTACTGTGGAACACACAGTTCTCATTGGAAACCCAAAATATCTAAATTTAGTTCAGTTTGCCTTAACTGTTGTATTGGTAATTGCCTAGAAGGAGAAGAAACTAAATTAAATCAACCTCTAAACATTGTAGAGAGCAGAGCAACATTGGCATAGTCTAAGCTTTTCCTTCTAATTTCTCCCAGATGGAATTTCCCATGTTCCTTGTTCAGACAACGTTAAACAATCTGGCATTCCCAGATTCCCATTCCCTTAAACTGTTTGATTTTTTCCAAAAGACAAAGAAAGGAAAGGAAAAAAAAAATCCATCCCAATACAGAGATTTTCAGTAGCTGGTGCCCTTAAATCTAGAAAAATATAAATAAGTAACAGTTTCATCATTCTCCTCCGCTGTAGCAATCTGAAAGGGAGACAGATTCTGTGCCACAGCTCAGGGAAAATAACAATAAACAGGGAAAATATGAGTAAAGTAGTGCCTATTAGAACTAAATGTATGTGTAGGACAGCCTACAGTCTCATTAAAACACAGTCTCAAATACGAATGCAAGCTGTAAAGTTGACATCAAGGTGCCTCTTTTGTATCATAGGCTTTTCCCAGGCTAAGGAATAGTGAATCTGCACAGGAGCAAAAGAGAACAGCTGGACATCTGTGCCAGATCAATGTCTTTCTTTGTCTCGGAAGATGTCATGAAGCCTGGGCAAGACTGTTGGGGACACTATGCTCTCTCAGTAGCACAGCCACCTTCATGAATTGACTGGGGTAGGGATGAAGACAAGCGTTTATTATGTTAGCAAATGGACGTGGAAGACCTGCACTTAGAACATTAGGGACTATTTACATCCTTGTGCTGATATTTTTCCCCAGCATGGGCAGAACAAAGTGTTATATTTTCCTTGGAAATCGAGAGAAGCTCTATGATTGCCAGTGTTGGTTGGTGCAAAAGAAAATACATGTGATACACTTTTTCAGATCAGATACATGTTGTTGGAAAAGGAAAAATTTAGTCAGGTTGTGCATCTCTGAGAAAGCGTATGTTTACTAAAACTGTAAAGACTTGTTCAAGAATGTCCTCGGTGTAAATATCACAGAATCACAGAATGGTTTGGGTTGGAAGGGACCTTAAAGATCATCTGGTGCCAAGCCCCCTGCCATGGGCAGGACTTACCTACAGATGAATGGTGGCTCCTGTCTTCTAGGAAGAGGGACTGCAGTGTTCTGTGGAAAGAAGTGCTACTGAGGATCTTCCTCATCTTCCTTTGACTGGGAACATTTTAAATGCCCTCTGAAACCTAGTCTTGTTTTCGCTTTCCCATAAGGGATCAAATGTCCATGCTAGCAAGACAAAAAAAAAACATCTAAAAAGGCTCTTTTCCATTATGGAGACATGACCATGCACCAGGATTTACTTCTAATAAGCTAAAGGCATCTAGTCCAGATTCACTGGCCTTCTGGATTCATTTTTGTTGTGCATGAAATCCAGCTCTTCCAGGGTTCTGCCAAGTTCCCATGAGGCAAGTACAGGTGGGCTTCCCATTTTTTCAGATACTGCATGTGTGAGCAATCTAGCAAGCCAAAAGCTCTTTTGCAGGTATATTTTCTTGTTTGACTTCAATTTTTCTTCTCTGATTTGTGGCTGTTGTGCATGATTGCAGGTCTCTGGGAATCCCTGCACTATAAAATTTGGACACAAAAGCGATTTTACAGGGAACAGGATTTCTCTTGTTTCAGCTCTTTTCAGATATGGGATACAGACTGAGGACTTGGGAGGTACAAGGATGGAGGATGGGAATCTCAGGGGTGGCATGTAGAATGGATTCCTGAAGCATGCTTAAAAGTAACTAAAGGCTTGGGTCTTCAAATGTTGTATTCTCAGTATCTGAAACTGCTTTAACATAAACTTATGGAACAATGGAGGTTGCCGCAAAGCAATTCAAAGAGCTTCCTCCAAGCCTGTACACATTTTCTGTAGGGGGGAGGCTGCATGGTGATTATATATATTCTTTCAAGCTAGTGCATTGATGTTTGGGGGGAGAGTACTGAATGGAAGTAAAACAAAAAGAGAAAGGGACCCACTATTGAAAGCTTTCATCCTTACCTTGTCCCACGCTAGCCCTTAATAACTAAAATGAGTCTGATTTGCCTTTGGTCTTCCAGCTCCAAAACATGTTTGCCTGAAACTTTTTGTTGGATATACTTCGCATGTTTTGATAATGTGACTTAGAACACTTCTACAAAGATATATAAATGCATACATATACAACCACGTACATACATGTACACGCACTACATATAGACTTAGGAAACTATATGGCACTATACACCTCCATGCCTGTATGTGGCAGCAACCACAGTAAAGGAGGGGAGGTAGCTCAAAATAGCATGTACAGTCCTTTATGGAGTTGTTATTAAACAGAATGTGATCTTGCCGTCCTGGCTGGTGGAAGTGTTTTATTTCTGTGGGACTGGTTCCAGGGGAGTTGCGTCTGAGGAAGGAGTATCCTAGGAAGACGGGGTGGGTCTCAGTAAGGTAGTCCGATGGAGGACATTGGAAAAGATACATGGTCTCTTGGAGAAGCACCCCAGAGTAGGAAATCTGTAACAACACTATTTCTCATTAAGATAAGAACATCACATGTTTGACTGTACAGGGCTAAAATCTCCTGTGTGCCTGTGGCTATCATGACACAAATCCCAGGCCATCGTGGCAGATTTCATGATAGACAGCATCATATCAACAGGATCCTCTCGTTTAGCATAGAGTGAGTTTTCCTGTTACACTGAAACAGCATTTTTCAGATGATATATATTAAGTTTTGCCCTGGTATTGGTGACGTGCAGACACATCTGGTACAGAGTTGGACAGAAGATTCACAACAGCAAGTTAGGACAGGACACAAAGAGGAGGCTGATGCTGGGATTGTAAAAGGCACTGACACTGGATAGCAAGACTCTGGGATCACATTTCACTTCTAAATTGGTGCTTCCCAGCCTGCTGCCCTCATAGCAGGTTGGGGAATTGGTTGACCCAGAGGGAAAGGAGCATCTCTGCACTTCCAACGTTGTTGGATCATCTGCTCCTGATTTAAGACATCAGGCCAGATCCAGTAGCGCTTTGTTTACCATAAGAGAATTTGAAGTTCTAGCCATAAAAGATACCTATTTCCTTGTGAAGATACTTGCGCTTTTCTACCAGTTCTTACTGGGCTAAGCAGTATCACTTGCCCTGCTTAAGGCATAGTATATTTCACAACTGGGACTACTTAGCTGATCTTTGATTTCTGTGTTCTATTTGAAGTTAGTTTGCTTCCTTCCAGTTTACCTGCCTTTGCTACTGAATAGATTCCTACCTTCCCCTTGGTATGTATGTCTGCATAATTATGTTCATATAATTAATTGTGACTTACATAAGACACGCATACTTAACTCCTTTAGATTTGTTTTGTTTTGTTTTGTGTTGTTTGTTTGTTTGTTTTGTCAATCCTGTAAGTACCCTAGTACTTGCTCCTGGCTTTTTTTTTTCCCAAATGGCCTCTAAGTTGTCACTATTTTTTTTTTTTTAATGTAGTGTGTCAAATAAAATCTATTATTCTACATAAGTTTAAGACTTGAGTCCCTGGGAAAATAACATGTCTCTGGGCCTGGAAGTCATACCTCTGCATAGGAAAGAAGTCTTTTTTTTCTTAATTTCACATTATGCTACAAAGATGGTGTCCAGCTGCTAAGTGCTTCACCTAACAGAACTCTTTTACCATCATACTAGTCTAGATTTATCCCTCAATTAAGTGCATCTCCTCTGGATTTAGCTGCTTTTCCCCAACAGGAGCCTAATTCTGTGGTGTCTGCCCCCGTCTCTGATCTCTACTTTCTGCTTATTTCCCTGTTTAGACTAGATGGCAAATCGATTGTGTTTCTCTCATGTTACTGTCTTACAAGCTCTCCTATGTTACTTCCATGTCATTAATGAAAACAGTAAATAAAAAGGGCGTAAGACCATTCTTATGCTGCACACCTTGCTGGCTCTGCACTTTGCCAGCTGGAAGGATATTTTTCTATACCATCCCTCAGACAATTCATATTTTCTGTGTTAGAGAAACTGCAAATTTGCTTGAAGCATAAGGTTCTGTGACCTTTTTGGTCATGATCCAACCATCTCACAGTTCCCGTTTCTTTTCACAGACCATTTCCTTAAGTGCACTGTGGAAGTTTGAGGAGGGGAAAAAGCAGAATTTTTTTTTTTTTTGCAAATGTATTTCTCATAAACCTTCCATTACTGTCTTTTGCACTTGTTTCTGTGTGGAAAAACCGAAAAGCTTCTAACTTGATTTTATGTGAATATAATTCTGAACATATCTTAGTAGGTCTTGTATTTTTACCTTTTGTTCTTCAAACTAAGTAGCTATTCAGTAAGTAGACAGATGCTAGTGGCTTTTACATTGTTGTTCATATAAAGCGGGAAATTCAAATTTTCATTTCTCTACATTCTGTTCCCTTTATAAATTTGCTGCTGGACTTTTCCTCAACATACTTTGTCCCCCATATCAGGTGCAATCTTTCAGGCTGGTGAGATATGTTTCAGTAACTGGTTTTACTATGGAGCACAAGATGTTTGCACCAGCAGCACGCCAGAACGGGTGGGATGTGAGCAAACGCTCATTTGAGAGGCCAGTGCTTGAACCAGTAGTAGGTTTGGCTGAGACTGTCTTGATTTAGCTGGCACACCTATCCCGTGTGCCCATGTCGTGCTGCGAGCCTGCATCAGGGCTTACCGGCTTCCAGCAAGCTGAGGGAGGGGGAGATGTGTCTCAGAGCACAGGCAGCGTAATTGAAGAGCTACCTACTATTGCACACCCGTGATTTGAAAAAGGTGGTGCTTGCGTGTGTGTGTGTGTGTGTGCTGTGAATACACGAGCACAGGGTTGTCTGCCCGCTATGGCAGGGGCCCACAATGGCAGCCTGCGATTTACAGTCAGGACCAATTTAAGATTACCTCCCACAAATAAAGCCTTCAAAAGTTTTGCATCTCGTGGCTTCAGATCATGTTTTTCTCTATTTGAGAATGCTAATGTTCAGGCATGGCTTTTGTGCAGGAATATTAATTATTGATGGCCACTGTTGATTATATTTTTATGAGAGTTGTGCCCAAATCCTTGCTTATGTGGCCATGAAAAATTTAGCGCTTGCTGTGACAGTATTTTTAATAGTGTGGTTTTAATTATACCCTTCCTGGGGTTGGACCAATTTGTCAATGAGTGAACTTTACTTGCTCAGCTGGTTATTACCCTGTCTTGTACTCTTTGGCCACAAAACCCACACTTCTATACAGTGCTTGCATAACTGGAGAGAGATGGGGACTTATTTTTTATGAATTCCTGATTCTGTCTGTCTCTATCTCTGCTTGTACTAACTGGTTTTGTCCATCGGGTTAGCTATTTTTTTAGTCTAAAATAATTGTTCACGAAATTTTTTCTTGTCCAGTAGTCCATCTCCATGTGTTTTCTCCTTCATCACAATCATGACCAAGTCTCTTAGCCTTGCCATAATTACCCAAGGCTCTATCTATTGTATTGTCAACCTTAAGTCTTCCTTATTTTTTCAATTATTTATACTGATGGGTTTAAAAGCAAAACTTCTGCTTTCACATTTAAATGCCATGTAAAAGGAAGAGCTCAACTTTTTCTAGGTTAAAATTTAAAAATAACTTCTTGCCTTCATTAACTGAATATCAGTAAACTGGCAATTAGTAGCAATTAAGACTACATTTATCTCGAAGGTACAAGGTCAAAGGATTTATTTTTTTTTTTTGGTGGTGGTTGTGTTGGTATTGGTGGTGTTTTCCCAAAATTTTTGGCTCTGATGGAAACTTTTCACTATCATGTTTTTCTCAGACTGTTATATGTTGGGTACCAAATGTAGTGCAGCAGGTGCTTGGAGTTGAAAATGCTGAACAAGATCAGTTCTATTTTCGTGCTTTGAGTGGTAGTGGCAAGCGTGGTGTAACATGAATCTCTAGCCAAAACGATGAATCTAAGCAACTGCACATATTATTTAGGAGAAAACCAAGCTTCTGTGGTTCTAACCAGCCTCAGAGCTTATTGTTCAGGCTTGTGCTTGTATTTTGGGGGGAAGAGCTGACATTCGACCTTCTAGCTGAATGGTAAGGCCTCAGTGCTGATACAAATTCTGGGGATATTTTGTGTTGGGGAAAAAAATTATTTTTGTGTGTAGGTAGCCAAGTCTGTGCTACTTGGATAGGATGAGAGATGCAGGTTTTAGAGTGACAGATGAGTGTGACTTTAGTTGCTGGACAAAGGTTTCAAGATTAAACTCGGAGGGGACTTACTGGGATTGTCTGAGAGGGTGTGAGCTTAGAGTTCCCTTGACAAAGGTTCAGTGTCAGTTTACTGCACACCTATAAAGTACTTGACATCAGCTCAGTGGAGATTTTATTGGTAAAATAGAACTGGAAACTTCAGCCATCACAAACCATCTTTGCAGCATGTTTTTTGTCCCCTCCTAGCTCCCGAAACACATTTATGTATGCATACTTTTTCCCAGGTGAGAAAACGGTGCAGATGAATGCTGCTTCAGCTCCAAGAGTGGGGGGCATACCTGGAATGGATTTTGAGACGTGCCTTCAAAGAGCAGCAATAACACCCACCTTTCAGCTTCCCCACAGAGAGCAGTCCAGCTCCTCACGGTAACTCTGGGGCAGCTAAAGGCAATAGGAACGGATCGGTACGTGTGCGCGCATGCATGGGCACACGTGTGTGCTCTTGTACTCTCAGGTGACAAACCTCAAGAAACTTTCCAGGTTAGCTTGTGCCCTACTCTGGTCTCCCCAAGCCTCTTCATGTGCATTGTTTTTGTTCCAGCTTCATCTCCCCCAGCTCACAATCTGTCTGTCATGACTCACACGCTCTCTGGCTTTGATTTAGACTCCATCTGCTTTCTCAGCCAGTCAGATCCCAGCTCTTCTGTGACACACCGTAGGAGAAATGTGGGACTGGAACAGAACATATATTGGTATTCAGGAGAGAGGAGGGGGAGGTGTACTGACTCCAGTCTCAAAGTTTCGCCTTGTCTCATCTGTCTCAGTGCAAGCATTTGGTTAAGCTGCAAAATGTAAGTCTGTACTTACTAGTGATAAGGCTGGGGCTGACCTGGAGAAACTTGTCCATCCTGAGGGTTTGTGGACACTGATCAGATTTAATCTCAGAGTGATGCCACTCACTGCACATTTATGAGTTTTTAAAAGGAATGTCCTTTCTCCCCTGCTTATTTAAAGGACTATCGCTGTTCCCTGAGAAAAAAATAGCAGTTGCTTGCCTCTTCTCTGCAGGCAAGGGAAGTTGATGTAAAGGTATCAGGGAGTCTGTGTGCTAATGCCTGGCAGCCAGAAATGTGCCACAACCCTCTGGCAGAGGCA